AGGCTCCTCGGACAACGACGAGTGGAAGCGATTCAAGGCTCTCACCGCCGGGGTAGACAGCGTCCTCAAGAAGACTCAGGGGGATCTCGACCGAATCAAGTCCAAGAGCTACTTTCAAAGGTGAGAGTTCTAATTTGAACTTCAATTCGCTGGCAGACACGTGGACAGCTAATACATTTGACGACGTTCCATGACATCTAAATTATTTAAACAACACATAAGTTAATAATCGAGTAAATAAACACATATGTAAGATTTTTTAATAATTTTACGAGAGATAGGATTTGAGGTTGTCACGGCGATGAGTCTGAAGATGGTTGTCTTCTGGGTTGTTGCGCCGTGTAATCCGGACGTTTCAGAGGCACTTACTGCCTCCATCATCAGGCACACACAGCCCTGATGATGGAGGCAGCAAGTACCTCTGTAACGTCTGTAAACTTTAACCAGAATACTTAGGTAACAATAAAAATTTTTCTTAGAACTGTAAAAATTCATCACCGGAAGTAGATACTTCTTTGTAAGTCCACGCTCAGTGTACAGTTTTCGGTTCTGAATTTTTTTTACTTTTTCAGGAAGCCACCCGGTCCGTCCGTCTCTAAGCCAAGCCCAGTCAATCCAGTTGATTCGATTCCGACTTCCGCGCCCAGACCCGCCGCCTCAGACAAGAAAAAATCGAACCGCTGGGTAGGCTTCGAGGAGGGATCTTTGGGAATCGACGTACCTGCACCTGATGAACCTGAAGATGAGGCTACGCTAGTCTCAGCGGACGAGCTCCTAGGTGCCGAACCAGCCGTCGCTACTACCGAAGAAGAGGAGGAGGAAGAAGAGCCGGACGACGATATCTTCGATACCTCGTACGTAGACGTAGTGAAACTCGCGTATATTCCAGACAGCCCCACTCAGGAGGACGACGGCTTCGATCCATTTGACACGTCAATTGCCGAGAAACTTATCAAAGACGAGGCAGAAGAACATACGAAGAGCAAGAAGAAACTCGTCAGCTTGGGTTGCGCAGTTGAAGTACTGACCGGAAGACTCGAAACCACTCCAACAGTAGCGGGGAAAAGGAGACGTGTGGTCCCCAGGCGTCCACAAGACGTAAACTTGTTACTCGACGAGAACGCTTCTCAGGAAGCCGAGGACGCCCAGGAAGTTGCCCACAGCCTGCTAGACGATGCCACAGAGCCCAGTCTTCTCGATGAATATCCGGCGTCTTGTAGGAGCCTCTTAGAAGACGACAGCGAGGTCTCAATTCCTGTCGTGCCCTCAGAAGACGGCGCACTTGAATCCACAGCCGCTGCGGAGTTTGACTTAATATCTAGCGGAGAAACAGACGCAACGCCAAGCACTGTGGTAGAGGCTCCTGTTTTAGTCGAAGAAGACGACGACCTTGAGAACGAGTTCGCTGCCCTAGCAGCCGAATCTGTCTCCAAGAAGCCATCGGTCTTACAGGAGGAACGAGAAGCCGTTGCTGGTGTTGCTCTCGGAGACCAACCGACTGAACGAGACCCATTTGACGCTGAGGAAGATTTCGATACTGACACCCTCAGTTTCCTGCCTCAGAAGACAGGTCCTCCGTTCCCGATATCTCCAGACGTTGACATCGTTCTTGGCAGCGAACCACAGCCAAAACGTAAGTGGGCAGCATTTGAAGAAGAGGGCGAGGGCAGACCTAGCCGACCTCCACCTCCCCTTCACACGCCGACTCAGTCGGTAGCATCTCTTAACGATCAGGAATTTACAGACAATGCAATACTTGCGCTAGCCGAAGATCTTGACATAACCCACCTCGATCCTTTCGATACCTCATTCGCAGAGAATATTCTACCCGGCAAGGCAGAACTAAAGCTGATAGAGAACGAGATTCTAGGCAGCAGTGACATCGAGATCAACGAAGCGAGAATCTTGTCCCGAAGTGACAGCGACTTCGACTTCAACCCCCGAGAAGACGAGGAAAGGGTTGTATCCACAGTCAGCATTCAAATCACAGATCCCGCTGGTAGGGATCAGGAAGAAGTCGAGGAAACAGGCTTGAGATCCCTGACTCTAGGGCACCGCGATCTTTTAGGTGGGAGCACCACAGACCTCTCGAAACTCGGGCACGATCCCATCCAGCCAGCGGAACAGGAGGAAGTTCCAGATATTGAAATCGACCCTTTTGACACCTCCGTGGTTGAAATACTTGCAGCCCCAGGAAAGGCAGAGCTCAAGTTCCTGGAGAAAGAGCTTCTGGGAGAGGTCGAGGGCACCCTTAAGAGGAGTCTCAGTGACCAGGACTTCAACCCACGAGCCGAGGAACAAGATCTAAGGCCAAAAGAACCCGAGGCAGATGTTCCCGACTTACTGAACGTAAGGGCGGGAGCGCCTAGGGTTGTCGCATTCGACGTTCCCACTCCGTCAGCTCGTCCCGACTTGCTTGTTGTCGGATCTGAGGACGGTACACGCATCTCCAAACCCCTGACACCCTATTACGTAAACGCGAAGCCGGCCGACGTATTTGCCACGCATAACGGAGTAGCGGACGACGCAGATCCATTCGACACCTCGTTCGTTGAGAAATTGGCTCCCGGCAAAGCAGAGCTAAAAATAATAGAAAACGAACTAGTAGGAGAGCCTTCAGGCCTGAAACATAGTCTCTCAGACCAAGAATTCAATCCCCGGAGCGAAGAAGAAATAGCAGCTTCGTCCTCTGTCAAAACCGAGGCAGTGCCCACCCCATGTCGCAGGTTCTCTGACTTCTCAGGGGACCGGCGCAGAGAACCTCCTTGCACACTCGCAATTAAGAGCGTGGCAGTGATCCCTGTACCCCTGCAGGTCATCCCCGCAGTTCCGACTCCAGCCTCCAAGCCAGATCTTCTCCTCGTCGAGGAGAACGCGCCAGTGACTGCCAAGCCGCTGACCCCTGCTATTGAAAGCACATTAGAATACGCAGATCCCTTCGACACGTCTATCGCAAATAACCTGTTGCCGGGACGCGCTGAGCTAAAAGTTCTGGAAAGTGAACTAGTGTCTTCGATAAAGAGGAGCTACACTGACCCGGACTTCAACCCCCGGGCAGAAAATCCAGTGATAATTCGACAGCCGGAACCAGAGAACGTGGCGGAAAGACCGGATCTCCTGAACCTGCCCAGCGAGGTGGTCCCTGACACGAAGACTCTGACACCTCACCTGGAGAACTCGGATAATTATCTGGGAAATTACATTGTCGACGACCCCTTCGACACGTCTATAGCCAACAATCTACTTCCGGGCAAAGCCGAACTCAGAATCCTCGAGTCAGAACTAATTGGACAGTAAAGTGGAATAATTTGACGTACGCGTTTCAGAAATATTGTCAGAACGAAGAGTTCTTAGTTCCATCACAGTATTTCGGTGACTTAGGGTAGGCGTACTTTCAACTTCTTCACAAACGTACTGTTTCAACATGGATTTCGAAACAACTGGTAAAAGCGGCAATCCCTTCCTGGTCGAAGATCTGGGGAAGTATAGTGGATCCACAGACCCAGTTGTTGGTGGGGGAGGGGGTGGATTAAATTCCAACCCTTTCTTGAGTAACAGTGACTTCAGTATTCCTGCAGCTACAGAGAACCCGTTCTTAAGCTCCATGGATGGAAACGAGCCGTCTTCATTCCTCGGCTCTGGGAATTCCTCCACGAATCCGTTCGCACAGTTCGATTATCCCGGAGATGGTGAAATGGACACAACAGCCAGCCTCAACATTTTCAGCGCACCCGAACCGGACACCGCCCGCACAAATATCTTCGACAACAGCGAAATCACGAACCCTCCATCCGACAACTTCTTCGGTGTCAGCCCAGCTTTACAACCTCAGACAGAGACGAAAGTGTTAACCGGCTTCGATTTGCTGGATGACACAGGAATGACTGGGCCCGTAGAAAACGACTTTTGTAAGGAGACGGATATTTTTAACAGCACCCCAACCGCAGCAACGGATGATTCCTCCAGAACCAGCACGCCGAAGGGGGGTCCCCCCAGAAGACCTCCACCTCCAAGACCTATCCCTCCCTCAAAAGAAACGAAAGACCTTATACTGAGCGTTACTGGAGCCATGGAAGCCACGTCCTCACATCTTCTGGACCGCCTCCAAGCCACCAGAACGCCAAGTCCGACTCCTATCCGCGACCTGCATTCCCCAAGCCCCACTCCAGATATTCCTTTTACTGATCTCCTGGGGACGGATGTGACCACAGGACAACTTCCTGCATTTCCGAGCAATACAGAGATCAACCTCTTCGGGGAGGAGCCCATCGCTGAGGCTCCCTCAGCTCCAAAACTACCCCCCAGACCAGCTCCACCCACTCAAAAACCAGAACCTCAGCAAGATATCATGGATATTTTCAATGGTGATGCACCAGCACTCAGTACAGTGACAGCGCCGCAGACAAACGCAGATATACTAGGGTTATTTGACTCTTCCCTTCCTGCAGCGCAGACAAGCGAGATGACTGGTACAGCAGATCTGCTGTTAGGAGATGATTTCGGGGGCATGGTACCTGCACAGCCACAGGAGGTAAACCTCCTGCCTGTTACTGCCATGGATTTGGAGCCAACTGTATTTCCAGCGCAGCAACAACCTGACAGCCTCATGGCTACAGATATGCTAGAGGCAACTGAGGATCCAGTTCTCAGGTCAGGCGATGAGTTCGATGCTTTTGCAGCCAAGTTTGAAAATGCTGCCAAAGAGGAGGGACAAGAAGTTTGTGTTGTGGAAAGTGACCCCTTTGACCCCTTTTCATCTTCTGGACTGATAGCAGAGTCTGGAAATGAAGGTGAGTCATCTGCACAACCAATTTTGCTCATCTTACTTATAAAGCTTGTCATTTATTACCATTGTAGTTTGTTATACCCATCACAGTCCTTCAATTCCACGTTTGGGAGTACACTAATTTATTCCTGTATCAGGTCATGCCATCTTCACTTTCCTTTTCCATCCTTCCACTAAAACCATCTGAGCGTATCCGTATATTAGTGTAACATGTGACAGAAAAACAGGAAATGTGAAGTTATCCCGACACCTGATAAAAGAAGTACTTCTGGGAAGAAATTACAACTTGAAATACTCATATATATAAGACCATAATTTTACCCTTTATTTTAAAATGAACTTTCTCCATGGAGAACAGCTATAGACAGTGTCATCAAATAAACAGCAAACAAATAAATTAATAAAAACGTTAAATATCATAATAATTAAGATAAAATAATAATAATCCTTGGCGTAACAGCCATCTGAGAGCCAAAGCCGACTGGCTTGACTGCTGGCCTCACGTTCACATGCCTAAGCAGAGATGAACGATCATCCAACCAGATATAAGGTGACGTGTGGTCAGCACGACGAACCCTCAGCCATTGCTAGCTTTCATGACCGGATTACGCTACTCATTGTAGCTCCCCAATTTCCTCACGATGCTGGGTTGGCACCGGTCCCATACACCGGTCGAACATCTCATGAAGCGCACATACCGTATCATCGGTCGGAAGCATGATGCCTCATGAGGATGACTACAAGACATGCCATTGTAGTGTAACTACTAATCAACAGAAATATTTTATTCCAGCATGGGGAGCAGTAACTGCAGAAAGGGGAGAATCCAAGATATCAGGGTTTGGGGCAGAAGAAAGCTTTGATGCATTCCTCTCAATGAATGAACCCCCTCCTGTGCCTCAGGGAACACCAGCACGTTTCAGTCGACAGCAGTCGGCAGAGTCCGACGGAGAACCTGACTTCTCCATATTTATCAAGTGAGATCTCAGCTCTACCTTACGCACTTAGTCAATACTTTAATGCTATCATTTAATTGAAATTTCATTTTGTAGTATAAGCACTCAAAGTCATGAGGATACCAAAACAGTGAATTATAAATTGCTGAAATTTGTAAACAGTCATTCCATTCCAAGAAGCCCTATGAAAACATTGATACTTAAAAGTTCTACCCGATTTTATATATTTTATTTTCCTACATGCCATTAAAATTGCTTTAGTAGCTCAAAAGTAAGAAATTCTTACATTAATATTGCCAGTAACAGAACACAGAACTTACAGAAAAAACAGCCCGATCAAATCATTCATTATAATAATGTCAGTTAAGTGAACACTAATGAAATAAATTGTCATGTGACTGTCAAAGGCACTAATGCAGGATATAAACTTAATAATATACCTACTTTTACATTGTTGATGTTTTAAACATATACACCTTTAACTTCTTAACTGATAAGTGTCTGTCACTTATTTTGTTCTGTGACCAGACCTAAAAATGGGGAAGCTGTTACAGCAGAACACATATCAGCTGAAGTTGTGCCGATTCTTGCACCACCACCACCACCACCAAAGAGCCCTGTTCAAAATGCAGACTCGAGTTTGAGGTTCAACCCCTTTGATAAGAGCAACGAGCTTGTAGCTACTGCCATCCCAACCGCTACGGAGGAGCCCGCACTTCCACAAGGTGAGTGCAGAATGCAGTAAAACTCTAGGATTGTCATACAGAGAGTAGAGAAGTTTAATTTTCTTTGAATCTCTTTATACACTTAGTATTAATATGGTAACGTACTGCAATGCGTCTTGAAGGTGCGGAGGTGCCTGATGGAATGCTTCAGAGGACGGACTCACAGGAGACACCACCAACCCCGCTGTTTGATGAAGATGTGTCACAACCCCTAGAAGATTTTCCCCGAGTCATTTACCAGGGGGATGGCTGGGAGATGCAGTTGAGGCAACCTAACAAAAAGAAGATAACAGGACAGAGGTTGAAATGCTACAATACACTTTTGTTAATTCAATGCCACCTTAAAATGGGAGTAGAAAAGTTGTTTTAAATGCCAAACATAGTTTGAGTTCCCACCGTGCAATGTTCTATGATGGGTTTTGAACCTGTAGTACATCTGCAACAGTTCCTTTTTTGTGTGATGAAGGCAGTGTTGATAATAGAGTGGTTGTTTGTACTTCATTTAGTTGATAATTTAGAGATTTCATCAGTAAACTAGGGCATTATAAATAAAATTGTTGGAAACTCGTAAAACAGTCCCTTTCTCCCCAAAGAAACAACTCACTGACAGAACACACCACCAAATAACGTGGCTGAATTTGACAGTCTTCTGGGATATTATACCATACAGTCTCATAAAAGCTGACCGATGTTTCTCAGGTGCTTACTGCCTCAATCATCAGGGCAATGAGAACAGGTGGAAAAATGGATGCAGGCCAGACAAGGTCAAAACTGAGCTTGAGACCTATGGATGAGGGGAGAACTGATCATTACCCTGATGATGAAGGCAGTATGCACCTCTGAAACTCCAGTCAACTTCTATGAAACTACACAGTGCAGTATCCCAGAAGGCTGTCATCTTCATACTCACTGCCATTGAACTTGAATTCTCACTAAATAAGATAGTTATTCTCAGATTTTCAATATAGAAATATGTATGTTGTTAACGTCTTTAATTGATCTTTGTTGTAGGTTTTGGAAAAAAGTGTTTGTGCACCTGGTATACCAAGGTGATAACCCTGTGCTGCAGCTGTTCAACACAAGGGAGGACAAAGATCCATTTCAAGAGCTGCCACTGCAAGCTTGTTACTCTGTGTCAGACATAGGTATGCTGTGTTATATATTCAGGGCCTGTGAAACTTATGTGTTCATCTTCTTCACTTGGAGCCTGTATAAGCAACAAGAAACAGCCAAATTGTTAGACCATTTTGCACTTCTCAGAAATGGCAGAACTTATTCTTCACCATTAAGTGGAAATATTATGAGGCAAAAGTTAAAACAATGTGATTAGTTCAGATTGGAACTTGTACTCAGTTTTTAGTCAAATCACAGTGAAATTAGTTAAAAAGTTATTTTCAGTTTTTAAATAAAATATTATACAGCATTGGTTTACCTGGATACAATTGACTTTGTAGTTTGTGGCAGACTGGTGAAGAATCTTATGTATAAATCTTTCTCAGAATACACCCAAAGTTCTTTTCATAACACCAGGTATATAATGTAAAATTACTTTTTCAGGGGCACAGCAGTTTGATGCATACGGTAAGATCTTCACCGTGAAGCTGCAATATGTTTTTTATAAGGAACGACCAGGAGTGCGGCCGGGACAGGTAACGAAGGCAGAACGTATCACCAACAAACTGAGCAAGTTTGCGCAGTATGCCATACAAGGGGACTATGAGGGCTGCAAGGAATTTGGCAGTGACCTCAAGAAACTAGGGCTTCCAGTGGAGCATGCCCCACAGGTAAGACAGACTTTTATTTCACAGGTGTCTTACAACTCATCAAATCAGTCATGTCAGCCATACTAGTCAGTACTAAATAACTTATTCGACTGATACAGGATCATTAAATAGCCCATAAAAAATTAATGAATATGCTCATTATAATGACCTGTGTTACAGATCTCTCAGTTATTCAAGATTGGGTCACAGACTTTTGAAGACATGAAGCAGTTCAGCATGTGTGTGGAGGAGGCGCTGTTCCAACTCTCAGTACATCGTGATCGTGCACTCAACTATAAGACAGAGGAGGTGCAAATCACAGTGGTGGACGAGTTGTATGTGGAACAGGACAAGGATGGCCACATTGATAAGCAAATCGCAAGAGTCAGGCTGTTCTTTCTTGGCTTCTTGGCTGGTAAGGGTCTCGTAAAATATGTAGGTAATGTCAGTGACACAAAATATCGCCTGAATGGACTCAGATGTAATAATGAAATTTCATTGTACAAGTATGTAATTTTATGAAAATTTCTAAGCTTTAAAATGGGCTGTATTTACCATTCAGCTATTAAAAATACCGACACCAAAGAAGGTGCTAAGGGTTGTATTCATAATTTGACATTCACCCCCTCGTATGATTTCCAGTTCTCCTCTACCTTTCAGTTTGTAGTGATAAATTCTCCTTTCTACTTTATTTACATGATAAAACTACTGTGGTTGATAATAAGTAATTTTACTTAATTTGTTCAATACATTTAATCCTTCCGTGACTAATTTCTAATATGGTCAGTCTTTCTGTACTCATGAAAGCCCTTAGTAACTGAATTTCAGGTATTTTATTATTCTGCTCTTATTTAAGGGCTGAACATTCTTGTCTATAAAATAATATGGATACAAATCATTAAATTACATTATTCTTACCATTGAACATATGCTTTAATTCAATACTAATGGTGGTAGTCTTCTGTGTTGTTGCACCTTATAGCCTTTCAGCTGTATAGCAATGTTTCCAAGGAACATAATTCCTCCATTTTCACATAAACGTAATTATGCATATAGAAACATTTCAGGAACGTATGTGCATTGCTTCCTGGTCTTGTTATGTAGCAATTAAATTATTTTATTCTACACTGATTTAGTCAAGAAGAAAATGGTTTTTAGATAATCAGAGTGAAAAGTGTTCCAGTATAAGAACTGCGTATAAGTACTCGTATATATGGCTGTATGTCTGGTCTGAACCCTTCCCTACATTGATGGTCCTTGCAGAAATGCCAGGCTGCCAACAAGTCCTGTCAGGAAATAAGAGAAAAGTGAACAAAACAGTCACCCAACAATGTCTTTACAAAGTTTTTTATTTATTTCCACCAATCTGATTATGCTGCAGGTATGCCAGACGTGGAGCTGGGCGTTAATGACTTGTGGCGACAGGGCAAGGAAGTGGTGGGCCGCCATGACATCATCCCTGTTATTACGGAGGAATGGATCCGTCTAGAGAACGTTGAGTTCCACAGCTGTGTGCAGCAGGATGAGTATGAGCGGACTCGGGTCATTAAGTAAGTTACTTTCAATATACTGAGTCTGACCATTCTGAAACCACAGGCCTTTAACATGTGACTGCAGTACCTTGTACCTGGGACACCCATTTCCCTTTCCACCCATTTCCATTTCTTTTCTTAATTACATTCATGAATGAGGCTTAATTGCATCATTAATGTATTTTATGTTTCTGTCTACAGGTTCAAACCACCCGATGCATGCTACATTGAGCTGATGCGTTTCCGAGTCCGCCCACCCAGAAACCGGGAGCTTCCAATTCAACTGAAAGCTGTTATGTGTGTCACAGGGAACAAGGTGAAGAAATGCATCCAAAGTACTGTCATATTACTAAGAGAATGTGCTGTTATTGAATATATGTTTTATGTACACCAATGTTGATGAACACTACAAACTGTAATGACAGGGAAATATCTTTCCTGTTATCGATAATTTTATAGCTTCTGTTAGCTGATGAGTCTAGATGAATGATGTAGAGAAATTGAAAGTACAGCACATAACTGGTATGTAATTCAGTTTTAGGTAAGCCTCATATTTTTAAGTATGAGGTATTCTAAATGAATAAATGTAAATTTTATTTAATAATTTTGCTAACACAAGTTGTCCTATTGGTTAAAATATATAATAAAATTCAGGTCAATACACAAAACTATATTTAGATGTTAAAATTTAAAATTCAAATGTTAAAATTTTAAATTTTAAATTTGCGCCATTCATCACTATAAGGATGTTACATTAGAGCGCTTTCATTCACTTCACAACATGTTTCGATGTAATACATCATCTTCAGGTGTTGTCCTATTGGCTTCATATTTTAACACTGAAAATTTTCTATCAGATTGGTACTGATGATGACAATCATATTAGCTGTAATGTACTATGAAGTAAGCAAGTAAATGAATATTATGGAGCTTAGCATCCAAGGGTCTTATAAAGGTCTAGAGTGTTCATAATGGCCATGAGATCAATGTCCATGTGCTCAACAGTACATAACATTTTTGTCCTATGACTGGAACATCTAGTTAAGAAATCACCTGCCTTTTATAGAACCCCAAGTTTCATTACTGTGTCTGGCCCGCTGTAATATGTAACATACATTCACTTAGTATCATAAAAACTCTTGTGTCAGTAATACTTATTTTGTTCACAGGTAGAACTCAAGGCTGACATTCTTGTACCAGGTTTTTCAAGTCGCAAACTGGGGCAGATTCCATGTGAGGACATAATGGTGCGGTTCCCAATCCCAGAGTGCTGGATATATCTGTTCCGTGTCGAGAAGCACTTCCGTTACGGCTCTGTGAAGTCAACACACAGGAGGTGCGTCCAAAGACAAGCCACTGATAGAATGGTGACGTGGTGGGATAATGCCATGGTACAGGATTATTTCTAAAAAGTTCCCTCCTTTCATAGAATGCAATAATTCATCACAGTACTGTTTCTCAGATACTCAAGCCTCAAGTTTCAGGAAAACTGTGTTCATGCCTTTGCAGAGAAACTGCACACACTGTAAGACATATATTCAAGTGTAATGGAACTTCTTTTCTATACTATGACTTAAATTAATGTGTTAAACAATATATAGTTTCTTAACTCAGGCTACTGTATGCTTTGGAATTACAGCAAACAGTCCCCATATAACATATACTAATGTTGTTCACTTCAGAACAGGGAAGGTGAAGGGTATTGAGCGGTTTTTGGGGGCAGTGGAGACACTAGAGCAGTCCCTCATTGAAGTGACATCTGGCCAGGCCAAATACGAGCACCAGCACAGAGCCATTGTTTGGCGCATGAGCAGACTCCCCAAAGAAGGCCAAGGTAACCACCATCACATAATTGGATCATACAGTTTTATTTCAGTTATGGTATGTGTCTTTTTGTTGTGAATCTTCATGGTCTCACTTCACCTGACAGATCATCAAAATACCTGTAAAGCAGGATCCAATTTTCCTTGCCTTACTTTCATAAAAAAAATCCAAGTACATCACAAAATAGACAAAAAATGCAACATGACACAGCAAGATACTGGAAGATATAGGACATACAATGCTTTATATAATCACTATTTACTTAAACACACACACTATAGGATGATTCAAAAGTCCCAATGCCCCTGTAAGAACAAGTTCTGTAAGTGGGAGTAATTTGGAAGTCCCTGTACGTGCACACACTCTAAGTGATGCACATGACTGGGTTGTGTGTCACATGTCACTTCCAATACTCGCTGTAACTGTAAGCACATTCACCATGATAAATACAGATTCAAATAATTCTTAATAATGATGTGATATTTCAGGAGCTTACACCACTCATGCATTTGTGTGTCGAATGGGACTGACATCATATGACCAGATTCCAGAAAATTTAGCAGATTACTGTTATGTAGAGTTTACAATGCCAGCCACCCAGGTCTCACACACAACAGTACGCTCTGTGTCCTTGAGTAATGGAGCGAAGGATGATCCTCCAGAGAAGTATGTGCGCTACCTCGCTCGACATGAGTACAGGTATGAACATAATTCAAGTATGTTGAATACATATCACAAATACATGGGCCATGTTTTGGAATATAATTTACATATATGGCTATTTTATGTAAATTTATATAAATATAAACTGCACAGTATAGTAATTTAATCAGTACAGTTATTTTCATTTAGGTGACTGTGTAGTGTGCCAGGTAATTACAACTGGAACAAGGTACTAATTTTAAATGATTATAATTCTTTTTTGCCAGAAAAGTAAAATATCATTGGTAAACTCTTAGATCATTTATAAGGCTCATATTACTACGCCATTCTTTACTGTATCATATGATACTGGTGTGAAAAGTTATTTTAGAAGGCAAGTTGTTTTGTGTATGTAGGGTAGGAATAGAGCATACGCAGGGAGAAGGGCCAGGTGCATACATGACAGCAACACTATCAAAACAGCCCGAGACTACTCAGATACTGGAGGAAAAACCAGAGCCCCCTGCAGCTAACTCTGACAGTGACTCATCGAGTTAAAACACGAGGTATGTTACATGTCTTAGCTGCAGCAATGATACCCAGCTTTCCCACTACATTACTACAGCATAACTGTAGTGTTTGAAACCAGGACAGTGTTGTTATGGTTAGCCACATTAATGAAATTACCAAAATTGGGGTGTGTCTTACATTTGATGGTGTCCAGGAATCAACTAAATAGATTGTTCCTTATTTCATTGCCTTGTTAGTCAGGACTCAGACTTTCCCCATATATCATATACACTGATTTAAAACCAAAACAATTACAAAACCAGTTCTCTAAATGAAAGTAGAGAACAGAAAACAGAACATAACCTAATTGGTACCTTAATACAAATCGCCCATTATTGTTTGGGCAGTAAAATCAATGTGTGTTGGGTTGGAGATGTGAATCATTGGGGAGACAAGAAGGAAAACACACAAAATACAGATGAGGAAGCACCTTAAAAAAAACAATTTGAAAGACTGAATATATGTATTTCTAAGTCAATCTTTAGCTGTTACTTAACACGTTATGGACTGGAATTATTACTAACAGGGAAGCTTCAAGTATTTTTCTTCATCATTATATCCATAACAGGTTTGATGCCCTTTATTTGTGATAAAATGTGACCCACAACTTTAGTTATGTAAAGGTGAGAATATTATAATTCGGTCAGTCATATACAAGCTACCACCACATGACTCTGCAATGTAAGACCGTTTTCACATTTCAGAAGTTGGTAACTGTTGACACCTACGTCCTTCTTGAATGGACCAAACAAATCCTATATGATGAGTGTAGCAGCTTGGAGCTTATCGTGTCAAATACTCTTCAACAAACGGACAATACGACCATTAGGTTAGCATTAGTTATTTGAAACAGTTATGCGAATGTGATGTGTTGAAAATGTAAGAAGCTGTTGTTTTCAGTCATACATTACTTTTTTAAGGGGTTAGGAAGGAATTGCCACTGTTTACATGTTGGTGCATGAGTGTGTTCACTTTTAATGCATGTCCTCCTTTAGATGTTGAATGTGTGTTTACATAGAGGAAACTGTTGATTTTATCATTCTAGACTGTCTAGCTAACAACAGGGAAAATAGTTTCCCGTAATAGAAATAAATATTACATCATAGAAATAGGAGAAAAGGAAACTGAAGTCCAGTTTAATGAAAAGAGGCCTTGTGTTCTTGCTTTCATACATTTCAATAATTAAATTACAGTCCAAAATATTTATTATATTACTATTATTTTTTTAATTTGGAAGCCTTTATATTGAATGCATATAATAACTGTCGAAATTATGTAAATTAATCACGTAACATAAGAATAAATGCTAGTATGAGGCATTGCCATGTAATGTATAGAAATGACTAGATGGATGTCTCATTATTAGAACAAAATATAACAGTTATACAGAGTAGAATAATTTTATTGTGCAACAGTTACATGCTATATATATTTTAATCTTCCATCTACAGTGAACTATATTTATGCCACTATCATTACACAATCCACACAAAACAAATGTGTCACTGTCAAAAATTCAAAAATGTGTGCTGTGTAGTAAATGATAATTTGTTTTGTATGGCAGAGTAAAATTCTTGAAACTTGCCCTTGTATTCAGTAAAAAGATATGAACATTACTTAAAATGTTACTAACCTCCAGATTTGTCTTTATATAATAAAGATGATTATAAAATCCATTCACAGAAATATTGATTCAGTTATGAAGTACTAATTTACTTTTACCAAAATATGACATAAATTATGTCAACACATTATTATTATTATCTTTTAAAATATGATGAGTATGTAGGCAGAAATGCATCTGTGGTGCACTGTAAGACATATAAATATTAAGTATAAGTATTTCTATGCAGTGTATAAATAAGACTATTCTGTACTGGTTTTGAGATCTCCTGCATTTTAATTGTGGTTACTTGAAAGTGTTAATACATTTTCTGCTCTTTTAGCAGCATATTTCAGATGGGCAATCTGTTGCTGTGTACCCATCTCACTAATGCTGCTTAATAATATTTGAAAAATAAATTATTTTTTCAGTTTTATTTTAAATTCAATATTTGTTGCTTAATGCAACAGAAAGCATATATAAATATTTGATAACAATGTTAGGGATATTTGAAAATGTTAGATTAAAATCTTGGAAATAACCAAGTTGGTTACAGTGATATGAAGTTCTCACAGTGATGAGTATGAAGATGGCTATTATGTAACAAGATTTACTGGAATTATCTGATATATCAGTAATAGTACTGAACATGAATAATTTTAGTCGATTACGATGAGTAAACTGATCTGAAATTAAACTGAATTCCAACTGTTCTTAGTTTATAAAATTGATCTTGTGGTCCTTTGCAGCTAACGAATGTCAAGGTCTTATATATGTTATCGTAATCACACAGAATGCAAATGGAAATGCAGTTTCTATTTAAGAGAAGCTTTCATGGTGACTAAGTATAATGAATTCATCTCAGACTACCAGCCATGTCAGGTAGAAGAAAGGTGGAAACATTAATATTTCAAGGGCCATCTTTGTCCTCATCCTCAGGGTACTTCAGAATCTATTATACTTAGTCACCATAAAAGCTTCAGATCATATATCACCTTTGAAATGTTGGTAAATTTCTGAGACTAGGTGCCATAACATCCTGGAAGAGAGCAGTCTTCAAGTTAAACATAATTTGTCATGTTAAGAATAACAACTCTGCCTGTTGAATTTTAAATTGGCTCTGAAGAGTTTATGCATTGCTGCATGAACATGAAGTTTATTTGAATTTTCTTTTTTTAATACTTTTATCTTACCTGGAAAATTAGCCCATGGATATACAAAATATGAAATGAAAGCTGGAAAACTTTGTGCTCCCTATGTTGAGTTACATATTAAAGAACTTTCCCATATTGTCTGCATATTGCTTCAGAATATTTTGTCTGAATTTAAAATACAAGGAAATTAATAGAAATATTTATTGTTGATACTGAAAATGCTTACCTAGCACTTTATATTTGTCCCTACAAATACTTTGAGACAGCTGCAAGCATCTGTCTAGGGGGCAGCATGCTATTTTGATAAATGAGAAAGAGAAAATAGTTTAGTAATAAGACAAGAGATGTAATGTAACTATGCAGAATTTTGCTGTTATTTTGAAATCTTGGAATCTATTTTACTTGAATATGGGTATGTGGCTTCTTTATAGACAGATATATTGTGTCAACAGGATAAATAAATCTGTTGAACACATGCTACCCTTATTGCTTGTGAACAGATATACAAAATGGTAAAATATATTACTAATTCATGGTAGAACGACATTCAGATATTTTTAATCATATCTAATATGATTTACTCATGTGTTTAAATAATGAAATCAAGTGTTTGAATCTTGCTATTACAGTAGCATGCAAAGTATTTGTGAAATTGTATATAAATTAATTCAACTCAAACTGCGTGCTTGGACTGAGATACCATAGCAAACTTCTATGAAGCAAGCAGTTTATGAGATGATTTGTCACTTAATGTAAATATATCTTGTAGTGTCGGTTCATTATATTTTCAATTTTGTGTTCATTATCATCAGCAGATTTTATCTGTTGCCTTAAAATGTGAAAATGAATTGTAAAGTAGTGTAATATATACATTTAGTATACAGCATTTAGAGATGCTTTAAGAAAGATAAATATTCCTGTGTTGGTGGTTGTGTTACCAGGTTATGAACCTTTCTTGTAGTGCAATATTATTTGTAAGTACATTAGTTTCCTGCAGGGAAGGAACAGGGTATTCAATACATCACACACTGAGATTGGATTCTCACTTCGTGGTGCTGGACTCCAGCATTTGTTCCAACAGTTTGTCTATCACTTATTAAAATATGTTACCAGTATTATGGGACCCAAGTCAATAACATCATCAGATAGCCAATCAGCTTAATGCACTATAGTTCTGTTACATTCAATGCTGTCAGGGTTATACAGACGGCTTGTGTGTCTTTCTGTATTGAGCTAATAATGTTTCAAACAGATTATCAGTATCAGTGAAACAAGCATCTGGAAACAATTCTGATGCCACATTTTTAAATCCACAGCAATTCAATCTAGGATTTAAAAATCTTTTATGCAATAAATGCAAATCTGATTAATGTAATGTTCATTATGAACAAAAATAAGTACTGATTGGGTAAAGCATGAAGTTAATTTTCAGTGTCATGATTTATTATGGAAGGAGAATTTTTATGTCTAAAATAATTTTTGTGCAGGATTTATCACTCCCTCTAAAACTAACCTGGCAGGTGTAAGAATTCTTTTAAAACAGATTTACTTTAAAAAATTACATTCTACTGTATTCTGTCAACAGTACACTGAAAGACTGGCATTGTGAAGTGTGATGGAAGAAACTGGATACAACCCTCGTATTACATATGATAATAACCAATTGGTGTGTGCAAATTTCTTGTGTGCTGGAAGCTGACAGTTAATTGCAAAAAATAAATGTTGAACAACTGATGAAAGGTAAACAAACAAAGCCATTGTACGTAACTGGGATATGTATACCCTTTTCCCCCCTGCAGAGTTCTACCACATGACTTCGCATTTTATAAAATTGCAAAGCTTGTGACATGCAGCAGCATACCAAAGACAAACGTATAATTAACCTGTAAATATAAATATGTCCCATATATTTAAATGCCAAATGTATACCAAACTATTATTTTATACACAAAAAGTACTGAGATTAACTGGACATGTACAAAAGTGCACTAGAGTAAGTATAGCTCTAGTTATTGCTCCTAGGTTTTTATGGCTGGAATTCAATGTTCAACTTCAGCTTTCGGGAATTAACCGCACTGAATACTGAGAATTATCCAACATTTCTCCAAACACTGCAGTTGCTATCTTCAGGATGGATGTGTAGTTGTAAGCATTTTTGGAAGCCTTATGTGGGGCAGACAGAAGGTGGGGAGTTGGATTTGATGGTTCTGATTAGTGAAGCATAAGAGTGGGGTGCTATGCTTTGACAACTTCAGTGTTTGCTGAAACGTTGGATAATTCTCAACATTCAACTCAGCTCATCTGCGAAAGCTGAATCTGTGCATTACTTTAGATACTGGAGTAGTTATTAAATTAGTTACATATCTTAAAGCTGCATCCAGGACATGTACTTAAACACAGTACCTACAAATGTCTACAACCAAGCCAGTAGAGTGTCTGACTACAGACTATATCATTTCAGTTTGATCCCTGGCACAGGCAAAGGACTTCTATTTCTAATGTGATAGGACCAGCACAGCCTGGCACTAGCTCTCTGGTAGTTGTGTAAAGCCCTAAAACATATCAGTGGATTCCTAGTTGAACTGCATTACTAAATTAGTTTCTTATTAAGTCAGGCATTTGAAGTGACAGTGATGATGTTTCTGGCTCCAGGCAATAGCAGATTTCTAAATCATTTGCCAGAAGGCTGCTGCTACAACTGTCGTCGTCGTCGTCATCATCATCATCATCATTGCCACGACCATTATTATTTTAATGATCATATCCTTTCTACATCAATATTTTGAATTTCCTTACTTTTCTATCAGTCGCACAGTTTTGGTATGTACCATTACAGTTCTGCAACTTGTGATACATGTAAAAGAAATGTTTTGGGTATGCGATACATCTGATTGTCAGAATTAGCTGTGAATCAAACTTGTTATGAAATGCAAGTGTAATTAAATTCAACTAATAATCTGTTAATTATATTCTCGTACAAACTCCTGAAAAATAAGTTCTGTTGTCTTATTTTAAAACAAGAAACAAACAAAAAAGTATAATCTTTTTTAATATAGTGAATGTTTCTGTTAT